TTTGTACATCAAGGGATATTGAGTGGGTTAATATTCCGGCTAGGTCTCCGCATGTAGGAGGTCTGTGGGAAAGCTGCGTCAAGTCGGTAAAAAGGTATTTACATAGAGTAGCAGTTGGAACCATGACATTTGAAGAAATGTGCACGCTCATGGCACAGATAGAGTCCATTTTGAATTCTCGTCCGTTAATACCATTGTCAGACGACCCAAATGATTTCAATGTTTTGACGCCGGCCCATTTCCTGATAGGAGAAGACCTTTCAACGTTCATTGACGCAGATTCGAATAGAAGCTATCAAGGGATGCGGGGACATTGGAAAGACGTGCAGGCTAGAACAGAGGAGTTTTGGAAGAGGTGGTCCGGTGAATACTTATGCGAGCTCCAAAGAAGGTATAAGTGGGCTGACAAGTGGGAAAATATAAAACCTGGAACCCTGGTTCTATTAAAGGAAGATAACCTTCCACCCCTTTCCTGGAGGCGCGGCAGGGTCATCCGAACTATAATGGGTTCGGATGGATTGTGCCGTATGATAGACGTAAGGACAAGCAATGGAGAAACGAAAAGATCGGTCCACAATGTTTGTCCTTTTCCTATCGACGATAATGATATTGATCATGATAAAGCGGGAGCAGTCAAAACAATTCCCGTAATGAAAAATAATGGTGGCTCGGTCGAATCGGCCACATCAATTAAAGATAAGGGTAGAAAATTCAAAGCAAAAGATCTATTCTTATATATTTTATTTATGCTAACAATATGTAACCCAGTTAAGAGTCAAGTAGAGGTAACTAATTTTGAAGATAGGGCTGGCGTGTTTTTTGAGGAAGTTGTTGCTGTCGGCCTGACTAAATCATCTTGGAATATTGTGGCGCACGTGAAAATGACTGAGTATACGTCTGGGATAAAGGCGTTAGACGAAGCAGTAAAAAAATTCAACGAGGATGTGATGAGAATACCCGAAATGAAGCAGTTAAAGTGCATTCAGCGGTTGCAAGAAGCCCATGACCGCATGAGGAATCAACATGACGTTATAATGTCGTCAGCTCCAGTTCAAAGAATTAGAAGGTCGGCGGTGCCGTTTGTTGGTAGCATATTTCGCTCGCTATTTGGCTTGATGGACGAAGAGCATGCTGATGATCTGGTCAAGAGAATTACAATGGTCGAAGATAACCAAAAATCCTTGGTAGAGTTGTTAGACAATCAGACATCTCTCCAGGACATTACGACCAGAATAATAAAGGAGCAGAATCAGGCCGTGTTTACAAACATTGCAAATTTAGATGAATCTCTTGGAGAGCTGAGTAAAAAAATCGACGAGATCAACAGGAGAGAGAGCGTGGCTATGAAGGCGACGGAAGCGTTGTCTGCTATCCAAGATGTGGAGATCGTACAAAGAGATCTTATTGAGGCAATGGTTAATGTTCGGGGTAGCTTTCTTCATGAAATTCTTCCCGTGAAAGTCTTCAAGCAGCAGATCCAGGTCATAAAATCATCTATTGGAAGAAGATTACACCTGCCAACCGAGTCTCCGATCGAGCTAGCAAAAATTGCTGATGTGTCGACCAGAACAACTGAAGAATATATGTTGTTCAATATCCGCCTTCCTCTGATAAACACTGATCAATTTACCGCTTATGCAATACAGTCCTATCCAGTCGTACAGGACGGGTTGTCTGTTCAGTTAAAGGCTCACAGCAATTACCTATTGATAGATGAAAAGAAAACAACATTTTACGCCCTCACAGAAGACGACTTTGCCAGATGTCAAAAAATGGACAGAATGATCATATGCCAGCAATTGCATCCCATCTATAATACAAGAGAAGCCACTGAATGTGAAGTTAGGTTGTTTTTAAAACCGAACCAAATGCCTGAGAGTTGTGACTTCGCCATTACAAAGTTTCACAACTTCTGGAAGCAACTTCGAACACCCAATATGTGGGTATTCTCAGTTACGAGCGGTACCGTCACAGAAGTCAAATGTGGTGGTAAGCGACAAAATACTAGAATTCGAAATCAAGGATTACTAAGAATGCAGCCGGGTTGTACGTTAGAGACTGAAGAGATGAAGTTGTGGGCGCACGAGAATTACCGCAGTGAAGTCAACTACGTTTTTCCGCAATTCAACATTTCCGCATCCCTGCCATCTCTCACCCATCTATCTTTGAAGAATAAAATCGAAGTCTACAAATTACCTGACATTCCGCAAGTTAAACGGTTTCTGGGTTTTCCTGTTCATCTCGATACGCATCACCTAATGCACTACAGTCTCAACTTTACAACGTGCCTTTTCATCGCGGGTATCATCATTGCGCTGTACTTGGTTATCCGAAGGTTGTATCATCTATCCAGCCGTTACCTGCCGGTGTCTATCGCCCTTCCTCAAATTAGATAGGGTAGTTGTATATAAAAGTTTGATGAATGTAATTAGAAGATAGTTATGTTTATATCTGTATATTATTCTGAATAACTAAAAGAAATATATATCGGGAACTAAAGTGTAACAGATACTATTAACATATATTAGTCAAATAATCAATCTTCCAAAAATGATAATGTATAGTAACGGTTGTAAGATAAGGAATAAAGAAGATCGCTAAAATTAAAATAAATGTTAGAACTTAAGAATTTGATAAAGTCATTTTCATATTAAAACTTTCATTGTCATGGGTATATTTTTTAATATGATGTAGTTGATCTCCATGTTATGTTGCTTTGAATTGTGTAAAATTAATATATTGACAACTAAAATAATTGGTCAAGTACTGCATTGCATATTTACAAGATACAATCTCTTATTTATAAGTTGTTGGAAAATTACAATCTTCCAAGGCCGGGAGCATGTACAGTTTTGTAGATAGGCTGAACGTACACCAGAAAACAGCCACGGTTGTCTTCTTCCTAGAATACTTAAATGATTTTGTTACATGTGTAGTCTGTTTGGGTCAGTCATAAATATTGTATTGATGATAAGGAAATGTCTCGCCCAACTAGTTGTCTTAAGGATAAAAGGTTTTATTACCCGCCATGCTGTGTGTACGTGGGGTGCATTTATTACCCCTAGCATTTATGACTGCATTGTGGGAATTTACTTTAAGGTAGAGTGTCTAGGTACAGCATGCATCCTAATGGCTGTTGAAGTATTTGTTATGTACTCTAATAAATAAGTGTATTGGTATTTGTAGTTTTAGTGATAGTTTAAAGATATGATAAAAAATAAAGTTAGTTCCCTTAGAACATTCAACGAAACGACATCGAGCGGTTTTATTTAATTTTCTCCCCCTAACAAACTCTATGCCAGGATTTTAACTCTATCTAGTACAAATAGAGGACGCATTTCCAAACCACTGCTAAATCTCAAACTGCTGAATCTTGTTGGAATGTCCAAGGTCTACGGTCAAAATTTTTGCGTGCCCAAGACTTTCGATTAATACGAGCGGAGAGCAACCATCGGCTGTTATGGCGGCCCACACCATCACCATGGCCGGCGCTTGAGTTCTGGTGGCCAACCGAAGGTGCACATTTTCAGCTGACCTCTTTGGCAAGAAATCACGATCATTTTGTTTCTTTACAAACTGCCGGCGAACGAATGTTTTCTCATCGGAGAAAACCAAATCCGGCAGTTCAACACTTTCGTCCAAGCGAAGCAACACTTTAGCTCTTTTGAGTCTATTTTCTTTCTGTTGCGGTGTAAGTTCTTGAACTTTTTGGAATTTCAGTGGCTTTACCCCGGGCTCATTTTTCAATATTTGTCGAATGGAATATAACGATAAGTTGAGCCATTTTTCGGCCACTGCGACACGAGTTTCGATCAAGTCGCTTCTTCAGGTGTTTTTCCAGCCTTTTCGAACCATTTCTGCTGATTTTGCTGATTCTTCCGCCCACTTCTTCGACATAGGGCTAAGCTACCATTATCACGGTAACGAGCGATGGTACGAGACACAAAAGATTTATTCACATTTAAATGTTGGAGTCCTTTAACGATAGCCACTTGTGGTTTTCCAGCCAAATATAAAGAAATCACAATATCACGCTTGAATTCCATCGCGTGTAACTTTTTTTCTAGAAAATTCTAACCAAAATGCTTTTGTACGCTTGTAAACAATGTAATGAGCTGTCACTGGAATAATTTTAACAGCTGTCGGACGAGTGGCTTAGAAATGACCGCAGCCTAAATTTGGTTGCAGTTCTTTCATCTCACCCTGCACTCACATGTGTAAATGGTTATTGGCCAAGGTTACAAATCTGCCAACTTATAACTGCTAAAATGCTTAAAAAAATACTCTCTTTAAAGCATCGACTATTAAATCGACACTTTAGAGAGAGTATTTTTTTCGTGAAACAACTGTTGGCTTAACACATGATAAGGCCTAATGTTTTTCGGACAGATGTAGCCATTCTTTGTTTCTAAATTTCGTTTAACTTAATTCTGATGAAATGGGATTAATTAATATTTTCAGGACAAAAATTGAAAAAACAAAAATTTAGTTTACCTTAAACACTGTAAAGTTTACTTGAGATAAAATTCCTGATGTTATGTGGTGCTTTTTTATACCCTCCGCCTTATTTGTGTCTCTTCAAACAATCATCCCCCACACACACACAACATGTCTGCTGTCCACAATTATTTTTGTACTCCATTGCATGAACGTCAATCAGAGATATAAATTTAGTGCTCACATACATACGAATGAATATGTACATATGTATGTATGTTGTCCATAATAATTCATTGTTATCTCTTTCCATTTTTATCGTTTCATGTCTGTTTCCGGTTCAAAATGGAATCATACAACCACCTTCGCCCACACATGATGTCCGACTGGTTATCGGGATTATGGCTGGGATTGATGCCTGCTGTTACTGCTGCTGCTGCTGCTAATGTTTTGGATATTTGATTGATGATATCGCACAAATATACACATATAACCATTGACCCTGCTCCACATATGTCATGTGAGGGATATCAATATGTTTGTGCGTGTATGTGTGTGTACAGGAAAGGAAAAAGACGTGTCACACGGATGGTCGTAGTCGTTGTCTTGGCCTTTGCCATTTGTTGGCTACCAATACATGTAAGTAGTGTTCTTTTTTTTTTACTTGTTTTTTGGTTTCTCTGGCTCTCCGTATTATTGGTCATCATAATTTCCATATGAATTATGGTATTTGCATTTTGTGTTTTATTCTCTCTTTTCTGTGGAAAGAGAACGGAGGCAATAACATCAAATTGTATTACCAGCACCAACATTTTAAGAAAATGACCATCCATAGTTTTTTTTATTCGAATGGATGGAAAAGTGTTGAATATTTTGTATGGGCGAATACAAAACTGATGAATATGCTATCGGATGTGTGGGTGTATTCATTCATTTTAATATACAAAATTAATATGCCCACATGAAAACACAGACATACATACATACACACACATCTGTTCTGCATGGAAAAATACATGCATGCATATATTTTATATTTATGAAGAATTTGAAATGCACATAAATTTGAATTCATGATCCAGGGAATTTCCCAGGGACAAGGACATCATTTCAAATAAACAATAATCGAATATGAGAATAAAAATAAACATTTTGTGTTAATGAACAACAGATGTAAAGTGGGCACAGTGTTGTTGGATAAAATAAATTTTATTAAATTATATCGAATGTAAGAAAAAACCAAGTAAGGAAAGGTCAAAAGTCGGACCGGGCCGACTATATAATGCCCTGCACGACTATGCATGTTTAGTAGAGCTCCAGTAACAAAAAAGTTTTTTTTTTCGAGTTGTATCTGATGCCCGGTATCAAATAACCTTGTTGTGAAGTGCATATTAGGCATGTGAGGGATTTAAACTCGCAAATCGGATGAAACATATATATGGGAGCTATAGATATATCTGAAACGATTTTCACCAAAATTTGAAGTACTTGCTTCTAGGATGAATTCAGTCGGAATTGCCAAGGTTCAGTCCATTTGGGCTGATATTAGCGTTTTGGTGCACAATAAACCTGATATCGGCTAAAGATATATATGGGAGCTATATCCAAATCCGATTCGATCTCAATAAAATTTGACGGAGGTATTTTTGGACTGTATCTGATATCTGGTACAAAAGATCATAGTTGAGGATTGCATATTACGCATGTGAGGGACTTTAGACCCGAAATCGGATGAAACATATGTATGAATCTAAACCGATTTTCACCAAATTTGATATGATTGCTTCTAGACTGAATTTGGTCGGATTAGCCAAAATTTGGGGCATTTCGACTGATATTGGCCATTTGGTGCACAATTAACCCGAAGTCGTTAGAAAATATTTATGGGAGCTATAACTAAATTTGAAACGATTCTCACCAATTCCAATAGGGTTTATCCTTGGGTAAAACAAATATTGTTTGGAAAATTTCATCTCAATTGGATAATAATTGTGACCTACATTTTGTTCACAAAAATATATGGACAAACGGACGGACGGACGGACTGATATGCATAAATCGACTCAGAAAGTGATTTTATGAAGATCCTCAAAAGTAACTAGCTTCCTTCTCCATGTTACAAACAAATGCACAAAGACATAACACCCTACAACTATGTGGTATAGGGTATAAACATCTGTTGAATTTACGAAGAATTGGAGCTTGATCATGTTTTTGGTATTAACCCTTAAAAACCTTAAAAAGGAGGCTACAACGGACATAATGTCCATGGGCTGTATGACCGTTTGCTGTGGGGAAACAAGGCTTAAATTGAGTTTAGGGGCTATGCTCGGATTGACCTGAAATTTTTATCACAAACAGCCAATTAATTTTTTTCGTAGAGAAACACTTGGTTAACTGCTTTCGGCACGAAAGTTCGTATACAAAACCCAGGTCTTCAAAATATGTACAAAATGGGTATTATTTGAATGCTTATACCTATCCAACAAGTGATCACGTGATGGCTTGGTTGATGAATAGTTGTTCGAACCGGTTCCGGAGAATTACGAGAAGATTGCTGTCGAAAATGGATACACTATTGCCTTTAAAAAATGATACCAAATGTGTTGATATCTCTTGTAGTTCTGAAGAGAAAAAAGCTTTCAAATTATACCCATTTTGTACCAATCCGTTTTGTAGAACAGAATAAAACCCTGGTTTTGAGTAACAACTTTGAAGTCGATCCGGTTACAGGAAAAATTTTCAAGAAGTCTTTTAGTCTATATATAAAGGGTCCACTAATTAAGTTTTATTATTATTTTTTAAATCGAATGTAACTTCGGTTATGTGGCACATAGCATAGTTGAAACAAAATTTTGTCAATATCCCTCGAAGAAGAATGGACCAATTATGCCTCTGAACCAAAATACGCACCAAACAGAAGTGACTCGTTTTGCGTGCCACGGCTTTTCAATGTATGCGTGCAATGAGAGTTGAGCCGATCTAGTTCGATCGTACGAACCAATTCCTTATCTAGTTCCATGGACTCCGGCCGCGAGTATGAAAACTCTGCGTATGAGTGATATGAAATATTTAAATGATATTTATGAAATCACTCATACGTTTAGGAGCTGGTGTACTGAACTGCTACCCAAATATGACAATTTTGCTAGTTTACCCCACACCACTTTGCTAATTTAGTAGATCTCCACATAACAATTAAAAGTTTTTATGGGAGAATTCAATTATACACGCTATGATTATAATTATAATTTAAAGTTCAAAGGACTAAATATGCCGAAGCATTCGTATCTTTTAAATTCGGACATGTGTTGCCCATTTGGTGCACAAATAATTTAGAATCGGATAATAATATATAAGAAAGCTATATCCAAATCTGAACCGATCTCGATATAATTTGGCAAAGATATTTCTGAGCTGTATTTGATATATTTCCTTGAATATCGTTGTTACGGAGTGCATATTACGGTTGTGGGTAACAAACATAACAAATCGGATGAACAATATATATGGAAGCTATATTTATATCTGAACCGATCTTCACCAAATTTGACACACTAGCTTCTAGACTCAATTCGGTCGTAAGTTTCAAATCCCATCCCATTTAGACAAATATTAGACGTTTGGTGCACAATAAAAGGTAAATCGGACGAAGTTATATATAAGAACTATATCCAAATCTGAACCGATCTCGATAAAATTTGGCAAAGATATTTCTGAGCTGTATTTGATATATTTCCCCAAATATTGTTGTTGCAGAGTGCATATTACGGCTACGAAGGACAAAAATAACAAATCGGATGAACACTGTATATGGGGGCTATAGCTATATCTGAACCGATTTCGATCAAATTTGGCAGACTTATTTTCAGGCCTAATTTGGTTGTATGTGCAAAATTCCATACTATTCGGGCTGATATTACACGTTTGGTACACAATAAAAGGGAAATCGGACGAAGATATATATGGGAGCTATATCTAAATTTTGACCGATTATTTCCAATTTCAATAGGGTTCGTCCGTGGGCCAAGCAAATGATCTGTGCAAATTTTCATCTGGATCGGGCAATAAATGCTACCTGTACTTTGTTTACAAAAATACATGGACAGAAGGACGGACGGACATGCATAAATCGACTCAGAATGTGATTCTATGCAGATCATCAAAAGGAACTATGGGTCTATCTCGTTTCCTTTTGCCTGTTACAAACAAATGCACAAAGGCATAATACCCTGACCACTTTGTGGTGTAGGGTATAAAAAGCAGAATGGTGAATGAACGACTGAAGCTGGTATCGTGAAATTTAGCATGTCGGCCAATGTTGGTGTGTAGTTTTGGTTTTTGGAAATTCGAACTATAAGTGTACTAAAAAGTACTAATTATGGTAACGTTAATGTTACGCGATTGGGAGACAGTTGAGATGCGCATTTTTGTTAGGCCGCTTTTGTCTATGATAAGAAAATATGTACAAAAACATTTTGGGAATCCGCATTAAAGGCGTATAAAAAGTACCAAAGGTTACTTAATTGTACCATTGTATCGGGGGAATGGATAGAGCTAGAAACCCCTGCAACGATTTTTGGAAATGCAAACTCTAAGTTTTCGAAGATTACTAAAATCTCCCAATTTGGTAGCGTGAGTTTTTTTTACGGATAGAGCTAAAACATTGTCATTTTATATCAGAATCGAAGTTGGGAAATATGCTTGGAAACAGAAGGTGGGACAACATTTGGTACAAATGGGTACTAAATGCGGCATCGAGTGTAGGAAATTAGCTTGGGTTTTGTTATTGGGTTAACTGTGAGTGCAAAGTGTTTATATAAGGAGTTCGATTTGGAATTTAGTCGCATATGTAGTACGAAATGCACTAAATGGTACAAATTTTGGTCTAGTTCGATGAGTTGGAATTATGAATTTCAATATTAGGAAAACTGTAAATGTGTAATATATGTGGAGTTGGAAAAATGTAATATATTGTGTAGGAAAAGTACCTAATGGTACCAAAGTTGATAGTGTAGGAAAGGAACAAGAACTGTGCAATTTGGTATTTGAACCACTGTGAGTATGCTGCGTTTAGATAAAATTATGATGAAGACGTACCAAGTCTGAATAGATTATAATGATAATTTCGCGTTTTATGAACTTCATGGATATTCAAAATTTTGACCCTTTGTAGGGAAGGTACAAGAAGGAGTGGACCGATGTATCCCATCTTCACAGCAGATCTTTTGTTAGTAGAAATATTGGGATGTATGAAATATGAAGAGAACCGGATCCTTATTTAGGATTTTATAATCGTTGTGGTTATCCCGAACTTCGACGCTATGTGGGGGAGGTACCAAAAGGAATGGAAACCTAACTTGGGTTGATCTAAATACTGAGATGTGCCAAGTCTGAAGTGAATCGGTATTCAAATTTTCACCCTTTGTGAGCGAGGTACCAGAAGGAGTGGACCTATATATTTCATATTCACACCAGACCTTGGGTTAATAATGTAATTTTAAAAACAATCGAACTCTTACATCACATTTTTTAAGAGCTGTAATTATTCAAAATTTTGACCATTTATGGGGAGGTACTTGATGGAGTGGTCCGATATTGTCCAATTTCGCACCTGACCTAGCACTGATGACAATATT